ACCGGGCCGGCCCGGTGGTGCACTGCTATAGTGCGCCGCTTGGGAAGCGCGGCAGCGCTCCCGCCGAGGGTTCGGATCACACATGCAGACCGGTTCCCGCTCACTGGCTGAGCGAAGCGCGGGAGCAACACCGAGGGTTGCGATCCCGTTGCTGGTCCCGGTCCGGTACGGGGGCGACACTGAGGGTTGCGATCCGTTGCTGGACATGGAAAAAGACAAAAAAAAAGGGAAAAAAAAAAAAAAGAATGTGAGAGCTGTGGAGGTGTGGCAGCCTCCACCCTGATTTCTAAGATGTATGGAAACCTTGGGAGCCCAAACAGAGATTTGTTGCAGAGGGAGAGTCATTGCAGAGAGCTTCCACTAGAGCAATGGCAAGTGGAAATGTGGGGTTTGACTTACAGCAGAGACTCCCCATCGGGGACATGCTTAGTGAAGCTGTGGGAGCAGGGCCACCACCAAGTCCCCAGAATTGTAGAGCTACCAACATGTAATGCCAGCCTGGGAGAGCTGAAGCATGACCTGTGTCCAGGAAAGACATAGGGGTAGGCTGTCCAAGGGGTTGGGGGCTCAACCCCTGCACCAATGTGCAGAGGATGCTGAACATGGATTCAAGGGAGATTATTCTCCACCGTTAAGATTTAATGCTTGCCCTCCTTGGTTTCGAACTTGCTTTAGGTTAGTTACTCCTTTTTTCTTTTCTGTTGCTCCCTTTTGTAATCAGAATATGTACTCTATGCTTGTCCCACCATTGTATCTTGGAAGATAACTTGCTTTGATTTCATAGATGGGAATTTGGACTTTTAGGTTGGTGCTGAAATTAGTTAAGTAAGAATTTCGGGCTGTAGTTGATTGAATTTATGTCTCTCCAAGACTAACTGAAGCTTGAATTGTGTCCCTGAAGTTTTATGTATTGTAAACTTAGCCCCCACTGTGACTGTTAAGAGGATGGGAAATCCTATTATGGTAATTGAAAGCTGGAGCCTTGAAGAGGTGATTGGATTGTAGGACCATGCAGTAGTGAACGGATTAATAATGGTGGTGAGGGGAGTGGTTCTGAGGGCTTTAAAAGAAGAGGAGAGTCTGTCTTTCTCTCTCTGCTCTTTCTGCTTCCACCATCTT